CAGCTAGATATGAATACTACGAAGATAAGCACTGGAAGCCTTGAAGCTTAGTGTAGCTCCCATCCCTAGTGGAGAAAATATGTTAGGCAACCCGAAGAGCCAGTAGATGGAGCAAGGGGAGCTAAAAGCAAAGGAATGTCTTGTTCAAGTTTTCAGAATAAAGTGATAGACATAAATGTTAGCGGGAAATAAGAAGAGAGTTAGTGAAGCATTATGAGTAAGATGTGATACATGGATGACAACGGTAGATCAAAAAGATGACAGTATTACAGAGTCTATAGTCAAGTGAAGGAAAGGATAAGAGGTGACAGTCCTTGAGACAACAAAAAAGTATAGGCCATAAAGTCATATCCTCATTTTGAGAAATAAGTTCGTGACTCTAACCTGATTACCAAAAGGAAAAATTAGACCCAGAGTAATAAGAAATCAGCATGGACTGATGAACAAGATAAACTAAACATAAACTAGGGACTAAGTAATAGTTGGCATCATGATAATTTCAGAGATTGTGTCCCGGCGATAATAGAATGGAAGACAGAAGAATAACATTTAAAGGTCATTCAGGAAGACGCTTCCCTAAGCTTAAGGGGTTGTATGTGCCAGTTACACTAAGTGTCACCCCAGCGAGTGATGAATTTCGTTATCCTTGGTACACAAGGATTACCGCGAGGTGAGTAAGGATCATCGATGATGTGAAAAGATGCCAAAGATGAAAAGGTAAAACACCTATTCGTAGATCATCGTAGCACTAAATCTTAGTGCTCCCCTAAAGGGGGGAATATGGTGTGATGTGGCATTAGATTAGAATTAAGTGGCTGTAGTAACTATGGATTGGTAAAGGAAGAATGTGATAAAAAATGAGAAAGGGATGAGATTGCACTTATTCAAATCCTACAGATATGCTACGATTCCAGAACATTATGCAAACACGACGTCAAGGAGAGGAAGTAAGGGTTCCTGCCCGAGATGTTATTGATAAATAAGGAACCGGTGCGAGACGTAAGTTAAGACAAACAAAATAACCCAAGAAAGATTATGCGGAATATTGATATGAGAATGGGCCAACGAGTAGTTAGTAGTTGATTCAGGAAGAGCCTAGTTATGGCTGGACAAGAGGATACAGACAATCAACAGATCGTGCAAGATAAACATAGTGAATCCAGTCTCGTAGATATGATATTGTAATACTTGGGATATATTCAGATAGGAGTTGGAGTAGTTAAAGGTACCGTATGAGTGTTACGGAAATAAAAGAGAGTACCACTAGGAAGACAATCAAAACTTCAATTCAGGAGCAACCCTACAAGCACAAGGGCGTGAAAATAAGTAATTACGGATAATTATAGGCGAGGAAGAACATAAAAAAAATAAAAAAATTTCCGTCAAGTATATGATGTAATAAGCTCGCAGCTTTACAAGAACCAGAAGGTCTTCCCTAAGTACTACAATGAAAGACTACCTGTGAGAATAAGGAAGAGGGCTTCAACCTAAGCATAGTGACCTAAAAAGGAAATGGACTTGTAACAACAGTCTCACTACAACATTGTATGCGCTCCATAAGAAAGTGGCACCTACCGTGGCTAATAAATGGGAAGTAAAATCAAAAGTAATATTCGAGATCATATGAGTTGCACGAAAACTCCGGCATGCGTGGGAACCAAGATAAGCTAAGTATGCACGCAACAAGGGGGCAGAAAGACCAGGAAAGGTAATAGCTTACTGATAGTAGTCTATAATTATGTAGTTTAGCTACTATTTGCACTCTAACTTAGCTGAACTTTATTGATATTTGAATGTTAAATGATAACAAATTGCTCTAATTAAGAACTTTATGCTTTGTAGGAGCAATTCTGGGCTATGAAGACGTTAAAGAGTGTTTTGGAGCTAATATGGAGCACTGGAGGCCAATTTGAGGTTAGCGCACTTAGAAAGAAGAAAGAAACAAATGCTGCAGAAAATTCTCCAGGTGCGCGGTCGCACACTGGGCCGCGCATGTCAGGCAGAAACTGGCCAAAGTGCGCGGCCGCGCACGTGCTTTCGAGAAAAATCATCCAAGGCCAATTTTGTAATTTGAGAGGCGACTACACTTGACCTATATGAAGCCCAAATCGACCAAAAAGAGGGTATCTCTGTTTTTAGAAGAACTCTGGAGGCAAGAATACAAAAGGAGCAAGATGAAGAATTCTCCTACGAGTTTTTCATCACCTTCTTCTTAATTCCATTATTGGTTATGACTTTTATATTGTAATCATGCATAGTAGTATGAGTAGCTAAACCCATCCTCTAGGGTTGATGGAACTAATTGTTGGATGAAGTCTTGATTACGTTTTGATATAATTGAGCCGTTTTTAATCTATAATTGTTCAACTATGTGTTTCTTGTGATTAATTGAAAGGGCCCTTGATTAATCGTATCTAGTTGTCTAGTGTTGCTTAAGAAAGAATACTTGATTAGATTGTTATTGAACAACGCCACTTTCGAGTAAGTTAAGAGATTAATTACTTGAATTTAAAAGTGGGATTAAAGATAACAAAGCTTTGGTGTGATATTTATGAGTTGTACAAATTGTCAACTAGAGTAGTTCGAGAGAATGCTTCTAGTAAATTATCGTAATTGATCGAGAGATAAGTACGGTAAGCAAGAACTCATCATATTTATAGAGTGTTACGGCGAGATTATAGCTAACGTGTCATGAATTAATCCGACAATTGGTGAAATCAATTACCCTAGATTCTTTTACCCTTGAATTCAACTTCATTCTTGCTTATTGATAGTTTTTATTGTCATTTTTCCTTAGTTAAATAATTTCTGTTAATTATCAAATAAAATCTTGAACTCTGAAAATTGTCTGAGCTTATCATTAGCGATACTAAGAGTTGTAGCAAATAGGTTAGTTCCCTGTGGGATTCGACTCCGGACTCTTGAACCGGATTATTTTTGCAGCGACCGCTTAGTCCTTTTTATAAGGCATAGTTGGGCGTGATCAAATTTTGGCGCCGTTGCCGGGGAACTAGCAGTGTTATTTATTACAACTTGGAAGAATTGCTAGGATTTTTAGTTTAGATCAATTTTCTGTGGTGTTAAAAATATTTCCATTGAAATTCTCACGTTTGAACTCTTCTGTGACTCCGGTGCATGCCTAGAAGCTCCTTGAGAACTGGTGAACCTTTTGAAGGACTCTCAGATCCTGAGAAAGCATTCAAGGCATTGAATCGGGCTAACAAGAAGGGCAAACAACTAAAACAAGAAGAACAATTCGAAATTGACATGGACGACGTCGAGAAAGTCAACAAGAACAATAGGAATGATTGAGTTGACCCAAACATCGAAGTGGTAGCACCTCTTATGCCGGAAGCTTCTCTATATGATTGGGCACAACCAACTGCTGATAACCTGGCCACCATAATTGCAGTCCCTCCAATACAAGCAGAGACGTTTCAGATTACCAACAACATGCTGCACTTGCTACAAAATAAAGGGTTGTTCTCCGGGTCGTACATCGAAGACCCACAACAACATCTGAAGAACTTTCTATTAATTTGTGTCACTCAAAGACAACCGAATGTGACTCCTGAAGCAATTAGATTATTACTGTTCCCATTCTCAGTGATCGGGGAGGCTCAAACTTGGCTGAATTCGCTCCCAATAAACTCCATTGCTACTTGGGAGGAACTAGTCAATCAGTTCTTAGACAAGTTCTATCCACCCAACAAAACTGCGATGCAAATTGATGAGATATTGCAATTCAGGCAGAAACCGGCTGAAACCTTGTAGGAAACCTGGGAGAGGTTTAAGAGTATGCTAGTGAAGTATCCACACCATGGCATCCCAGATCAGATGCTTGGACAGAGATTCTATATGGGTTTGGCTGACGGTCTGAAGGCCAATGTAGATGCTTCAGCTGGGGGTGCATTCTTGAGCAAAACATTCACAGAGTGTAAGATTCTTCTTGACAAGATGGCTCAAAATTCAGGCTGGATGACGAGAGATACAACACTCACTCCAATAGTGCATTCTGTTGCTCTTGACCCAAACAATATAAATGCAGAAAACATAGCCACTCTCATGACCCAGATGAGCTTGTTGACAAATAAAATTGATGAGATGGGTACGAAACAGGTGCACATTGTTGATACGACAAATGGAGGCCTATGCATTCCCTGCATAAATCAGTCATATGTTTGCTCGTGGAGTGGAGAGAATGATAACCAAGGCTTCAGAGAAGACATGAATTACGTCAATAATTTTGGGGGTCAGAGGCAAGGTGGACAGCAATGGGGACCTCAAAATCAGCAGTACAGACCAACCCAGCAACAATACAATACCATACTAGGGGGAGCACGACCACAAGGCCAAGTAGTGCCTTATCAAAGGTAGCAGGGCTACAATCAGCAGCACCAATAACAGTTGGCATACCAACCGCCTCATCAACAACATGACAGTAATATGATAGAAATCAAGGGCATGCTGCAACAACTCATTGGGAGAAATGGAAAGATACAAGAAAAGTTAGCCGTACATGATTCGGCTATTAAAGACATTGAAACTCAATTAGGCCAGTTATCTATGGCCTTGAACAATTGCCCACAAGGAACATTGCCTGCAGACACAAACATCAATCCAAAGGAGCAGAACCCAAATTAGCTAGTGGCAGTGAGCCTCAGGAATGGAAGGGATTTAGACAGAGAGCAAGAAGTTGTTCAATCTAGGAGACACGAGACGCGATGCAAATTACTCCAGTGACATTAGAGACCGACGAGTCAACGGAGCTCACAAAAGTTATAATTGAACAGGCACACGTGGACAAAGGCAAAGAGAAGGAATTTGAACAACTCCCAGAATAGGTGGTGGAAAAGGCTCCTAATAAAGAAAAGACACCAAGCTGTGGGCAGAAGCTAACTCCTGCACCATTCCCTCAAAGGTTGGCAAAGAAAAAGAAAGATGATCAATACAGGAAATTCATAGAAATGCTTAGACAAATTCAATTGAATATTCCGCTGATGGATGCTTTGAGGAAAATGCCAGGCTATGCAAAAATGATGAAGGATCTGATGTCTCGAAAATTTGACTTCCAGGACCTGTCTACTGTAACTCTAACTCAAACTTGCAATGCGGTAGTGACAAGACCTATGGCTCAAAATTTGTCTAATCCCGGTTGTTTCACTATCCCATACACAATTGGAAGTTATGCTTTTGCTAAAGCATTGTGGGACTTAGGAGCCAATATCACTTTGATGCCTTTGGCAATCTACACAAAATTAGGCATTGGCAGTGCTAGACCGACCTCAATGTTGTTGCAACTAGCTGATCGCACAGTCAAAAGGCCGACATGAATTCTGGATGATATGCTCGTCCAAGTGGGGAAGTTTGTATTTCCTGCCGACTTCGTTATTCTTGACTGTCAAGTTGATGAAGAAATACCAATAGTTTTGGGGAGGCCGTTCTTAGCCACTGGGAGAGCATTGATCGACTGTGAGAATGTAGAGTTAAAAATGAGGTTGAATAATGAGGAAATAATATTCAATGTTCAACAATCTATGAGGAGGCCCAGCGAATTTGCAAATTGTTCACTAGTGGAGGTGGTGTATGTAATACTACAAGAGGCGGATGAGACCCTTAATGTCAGAGATCCATTAGAAGCTTGCTTGATGAATTTGGAAGATGTGGATGGTGAAGATTTGACAGAGTGGGTTATGGCTCTCGAAGGTCAAGGGTTCTGGAAAAGGGAACCCCAGTTCGAGCCACTACACTTAGAAGAAAGGGAAACACCACCTGCGAAGCCATCAATAGAGGAGCCACCACAGTTGGACCTGAAACCTCTTCCAGCTCACCTCAGGTATGCTTTCTTAGGGCCTAACTCTCCTTTACCTGTTATTATCTCATCTGGTTTGTTAGTTGTGCAGGTAGAACAACTCCTACAGGTGTTACAGGAATGTAAGACTGCTATTGGTTGGACCATGGCAGATATAAAGGGTATCAACCCGGCCTTTTGAATGCACAAGATTCTCTTGGAAGAAGGGAACAAACTTTCCAGAGAACATCAAAGAAGGTTGAACCCGAACATGAAAGAAGTGGTGAAGAAAGAAGTGATCAAGTGGTTAGATGCGGGTATCATCTTCCCCATCTCTGACAGTAACTAGGTTAGCCCAGTTCAGTGTGTGCCAAAGAAGGGTGGAATGACGGTCGTGCAAAATGAGAATAACGAGTTGATCTCGACTCGTACAGTCAGGGGTTGGCGAATTTGCATGGATTATAAAAAACTGAACACAGCCACCCGGAAAGACCATTTCCCCTTGCCATTCATTGACCAAATGTTGAATAGGTTGGCTGGGCGGTCTCACTTCTACTTTTTGGATGGATATTCGGGGTACAATCAGATCTCAATAGCCCCTGAATATAGAGAGAAAACATCATTTAATTGTCCGTATGACATCTTTGCCTTTCAAAAAATGACGTTTGGCCCGTGCAATGCACCGACTATATTCCAGAGGTGTATGTTATCCATTTTCACTGATATGATGGAGGATATTATGGAAGTCTTTATGGATGATTTCTCAGTGGTGGGGGATTCATTCGAAGACTGTCTTCACAATTTAAGAAGAGTGTTAAAAAGGTGTGTGGAGACAAATTTAGTGCTGAAGTAGGAGAAGTGCCATTTTATGGTACAAGAAGGTATAGTGTTGGGGCATCGAGTGTCCTATAAAGGAATTGAGGTCGACCATTCTAAGGTTGACATGATTGAGAAGTTGCCACCACCCACTTCGGTCAAGGCAGTGAGAAGTTTCCTTGGGCACGCCGGATTCTACAAGCGATTTATAAAATATTTCTAAAAAATTGCTAACCCCTTATGTAAACTCCTTGAAATGGATCATCCCTTTGTGTTCTCTGATGATTGCAGGTTGGCATTTGAAGAGCTGAAGAAGAGACTGGTGACTGCACCAATCATTGTTTCCCCAACTGAGAGCAACCATTCGAGCTCATGTGTGACGCGAGTGACTATGCTATAGGATCAGTCCTGGGGCAGCGAAAGGACAAGCTCGTGCATCCAATTTACTATGCAAGCAGAACGCTAAGCGGTGCACAACTCAATTATACCGTGACTGAGAAAGAGATGTTGGCTGTGGTTTTTACATTCGACAAATTCAGGTCTTATTTGATTGGTTCAAAAGTGATTATTTATACTGACCATGCAACACTTAGGTACTTGATAGCGAAGAAGGAGTCAAAGCCACGCTTGATCCGTTGGGTTTTATTGCTACAAGAATTCGATTTGGAGATCCGCAATAGGAAAGGGACAGATAGCCAAGTGGCAGACCACCTTTCAAGGTTGGAGGGAGCTGAAAAGAAAGTAGAGGTTGAAGATATAACTGAGACATTTCCGGACGAACAATTACTAGCAGTGGCAATGGAGGAGACGCCATGGTATGCTGATATTGCTAATTATTTGGCAAGCGGTATTGTACCTTATGAACTCTCTTCGATTCAAAAGAAAGAGTTCTTTCATGATTGTCGGTCTTATTACAGGGATGAACCTTTACTTTTTAAAATATATATAGATAACATGATCCGGAGGTGTATCCCCGAGAAAGATCAATCTTCTGTTTTGCAGGCTTGCCATGCTTCACCATATAGTGGGCACTTTGGAGGAATTCGGACAACGGGGAAGGTGTTGGAGTCGGGGTTGTATTGGCCGACTTTATTCAAGGATGTCCATGCTTGGGTGAAAATTTGTGATGAATGCCAAAGGACAAGCAACATATCTCGCCGTCACGAGATGCCGATGACTACAATTCAAGAGGTGAAAGTATTTGACGTGTGAGGGATTGATTTTATGGGACAATTTGTCAAATTGTATGGTAACAAGTACATATTGGTAGCAGTTGACTACGTCTCCAAATGGGGTGAGGCTATGGCCCTTCCAACAAATGATGCCAAAGGAGTGACAGGCTTTCTAAAGAAAAATATTTTCACACGTTTTGGCACTCCGAGAGCTATAATCAGTGATGGTGGAACCCATTTTTGTAATAGAGCGTTCGCAAGGCTGTTAGAAAAGTATGGAGTTCTCCATAAGGTTGCCACATCTTACCACCCACAAACGTGAATACGACAAGGAATGATTGGGCAAAGAAGTTGGATGATGCATTATAGGCGTACCGCACAACATTTAAAACTCCAATTGGTATGTCTCCATACAAGTCGGTGTTTGGAAAAGCATGCCATCTTCCGGTGGAGCTTGAGCATAAAGCCTTATGGGCACTGCAGTAGTTGAACTTGGATATGGAAACTGCAGGCACAAGTAGAGTCACGGAGCTACATGAACTCGAGGAATTACGGTTCCATGCATTCGAGAATGCAAGATTGTACAAAGAAAGGATGAAGATGATTCATGATAAGCACATTCTAGATCGAAACTTCAAAGCCGGAGATCTAGTGTTGTTATATAACTCGAGATTAAAATTGTTTCCGGGTAAGCTGAAGTCTAGATGGTCAGGACCATTTAGATTTGTGCAAGTGTTATCAAGTGGAGCAGTAGAAATTGAGTCCGAAGATGGAACAAATAAGTTTAAAGTGAATGGGCAAAGGTTGAAACACTACCTTGGAATGGTTGAAGAAAAAGGGGAGAAAGTTGTGATGTCTTTCGAAGAGCCTCAATATGTGAGTGAAGTGCAATCATGAAAGCCTACATCGTGCCGCGACGTTAAATCAGGTGCTTCCTGGAAGTGAACCCATGGTTTTGTTGTAATTCGTCATGCCGCGACGTTAAATCAGGCGTTTTTTGGGAGGAAACCCAATATTTTTTTCTTTGTTCTTATTTTTCGTATTTGATTTTGAACGGTGAAAGTATTAACAGGTCTATTAATGTGCAAGTATGAAATTGTGTGTGGCGGAAAGACTCGGGGTGAATCCATCCGGAGATAGGTAGAAAGTGGCTAAAAGGGAGAAATTTCGAAGGACAAACGTGCGCGGCCGCACACAGACCGTGCACTTTTGGACCCCTATAGTTGCACATGCGCGGCCGCGCACTGACTGCGCATTTTTTGACCTCCACTGCCCCACGTGCGTGGCCGCGCACTGACTGCGCATGGACCGTGCACTGGGCGCCGTTTTTAGGTTATTTCATTAGTTAATGTTTTTTAGAGTAACGTTTACTAATAACCGACCCCCCCTTATTCCTCCCCTAAAATCTGAATAAAAACAAAACAAACCTTTCTCTCTCACAACAAACACACACCCAAAACCCTCCCTTCTCCCCAATTTCAAAAGCAAAAACCTACCTCCCTTTCCTCCTCTTCCCTACTCAATCACTCCCCAATCTCTATTCCTCACAAGCTTCTACAGGTAAGTGCCATGTCTTCTATTTTCCTTTTCCTTCAGGTTTTATTTTTTCCAATTTTTTTCTTTTCTTCTTCTCTTTTAATTGTATGGTAGTAGAAGTCATTGTTGTTCTTTTCTTTGCTTTGTATTACTAAGTATACTTGTTGGTATGTGAGGATAGTGAAATTTTATCTTTTTGGATTGGATTAGACATTGTTAAGATTGTGGTGGAATTGAGGTATAATTGGGTGTTTGGGGAATTTGGGGTGAACTTGCACATCAAGTGTTTGTTTAAATGCCACAGTGAGTTCGTGAATGTAATTTGTGACCAATTATGCGGGTGAAGTCTGAGTAACTGCTATTGGTTCACACATCCCGCCTTGTAATGATAGTGGTATTTGTTTTGTAGGTACTATGACACCCTCAAAGAAAAGACGAACCATAGGTGCCTCTTCTAGTGGTCATGCAGGCTCATCCCGGGCACGAGCCTCAACCAATGCACTTCAGTTTGATAGCACAAGGTTTGTATCAAGCTCAGCCCAAGAATGTTTTAGTCAGAAGGCTCCTAAGATGCCCATACCGGAATGAGGTATTGATAGGGGGTCCCTCCAGGTTGTTTTCCCCAATATGTATCAGGAGTTGGTTCGGCGCAGGCTGGATATTTTCTATAAAGAACCTAAGGAGACCAACTTGATGGTTGTACGGGACTTCTACGCGAACTGCCCTGAACATGAGGACCATGTATGCACTGTGCGACAAAAGAATATTGATGCATCGATAGACGCCATTAGGAGGGCGTATCAATTGCCAGTATTTAGTGGGGAGGAGGACTATTATGATACGTATAGGCGAGAACCAACCTCCTGGAATCTATTTTTCAGAACAATCTGTGTGCCAAACAAAGACATAGTGTGGGTTACGCCGGGGCGGAAGTTTCACTCGGCCTCACTCACCTTTGAAGGGAAGTGTTGGCTTTATATCATCAATAGCCGCCTATTTTCATCTTCCAACACCACTG